TTTTTTTTTTTTTTTTTTTTTTTTTTTTTTTTTTTTTTACGGCGATGTCGGTTTGCTTTTGAAAAGGCTGCAGTGTCCACACATGGTCAAGAATGCGCTGAGATAGGTGTAGGCATGTTAAATAAAGGTGGATCGGCAGTCGATGCGGCTATTGCTGCCCTCTTATGCGAGGGAGTTGCATCTTTACATAGGTAAAATTAAAAATTTTTGTTTATCCATCTCGCGCATGCGTATCCCATATATTTTAATTTTCTAATATTTCTCCAATCGTTGTTCCACGCGTTTCGTTTGAATTGGATCAAAGTATGGGATTGGGCGGTGGATTTTTAATGACCATTTGGGATGCATCTAACAAAACTGCCGATTATTTGGATGCAAGGGAGATCGCTCCACTTGATGCAAATGAAAACATGTTTCAGGGAGATCCTCAATTAGCGATGTTTGGTAAAATGTTAACATTTTTTTTTTATCATTATCACACATGTGTACCCACGTGTTAACGCCAATATTAATATCCTACGGTACGCCCCTACCAAGGCGGTTTAGCCGTTGCAGTACCGGGCGAACTTCTTGGGTATTGGGAAGCTCATAAAAAATATGGAAAATTGAAATGGTTCGACCTATTCCAGCCGATTATTTCTCTGTGCGCCACTGGATCTATCGTGACTAAATATTTGGAATCATATTTGACCAGTAAAGAATCTTCGATAAGAGCGGAAAAATCGTTGGCCGAAATCCTTATAAATCCTACTACCAATTCGTTATGGAAGGTGGATGTTTATGTTTTTTCTCTCTCTCTCCTATATTTCACGATCTCGATAGAGGACTATATAGAATTTCGTTTGTTTCAGGTAGGCGATAGAATAAAAAGACCACGTTTGGCAGAAACGTTAAAATTGATCGCGGTTAATGGACCCGATATATTTTACAATGGCAATATGACTGATAATTTAGTCAAAGAGATCAGTGCTTTCAAAGGTATCATAAAGAGGGAGGATTTCGTAAATTATAAGTATGCATGAATTTTTTATAAACCTCCTAAAAGCGATTCAAATCGAAATACGTATACGTACGTGTATATATACGAGTGTCGTGTTATAGAGTAAAATGGAGGAAACCGATTAAATCAACAATCGGGAATTTAACCATCTATACCGCACCGCCACCTAGTTCAGGAGCGCTGCTAACTTTTATTATGAATGTTCTCTACGGTATAATTCCAAATCAGGATAATCGAATTACATGGCAAAATATAATCGAGACGTTTAAATGGGCTTATGCTAAAAGAACGAAATTAGCTGATCCTGATTTCATTGATATCAGTGAGTCGGCAATTTATGTTATCACTGCATAGTCATTGTTACATGTGATAAGTACACATACAAATAAAACACAATTTTTATTAGTTATGTAACAAATCATTTGAACATCAATTTAAATTACTTTAGATAAGAGTATACGATAAAAAAAATTTAGAATCAGTTCATAGAAACAAACAAGAATAGAATTAATGATGATACGATAATACTTATCGCAGCTAATATATTTATTATATTTATTATATTTATTATATTATTAAGGTTCATTCTTAATTCTTATCTAATTTTCTTTTATTAAAAAAATATTTCTCGTTTGATTAATGATAAATTATAATAATTGATAATTTTTTTTCCAGCCCAAGTACTTAATAATTTGACATCTGTCGATTATGCAAATATGATTCGAAAGAAAATTAAAATAAACGAGACAAGTAACGATCCGACTTATTATGGTGCTATTACTGTTCCACCAGACGATTCAGGAACGTCTCACATCTCCGTTTTGGCTCCCGATGGATCTGCTGTATCTGTTACATCAACGATAAATCAAGTGTATTAACAATTTCGATTTCGATTTTTCAAATAAATATCAATTTTGAAAACGCGTATATTTATATAAACAAAAAAAATATATATATATCTTCTAATTTTAATTATTAATTTGACAGTTTTGGAGCAATGATACGTTCAGAATCGACTGGCATAATATTTAATGATGAAATGGATGATTTTAGCTCCCCAAATATAACTAATGCATTCGGTGTACCACCTTCGCCAGCAAATTTTATTAAGCCTGGAAAAAGACCTTTGAGTTCTATGAGCCCGACAATTGTTGTAAGCATACACTTTGCAAATGAAGAGATAATATTATATAGG